AGTGAACAAATTACATAAACACGCCATTTTTTCTAAAGTTCAATTCAACTGAGAAGATAATTAATATAGTTATAAATTCTAAAAGCATACCAAAAAAGCATGCTTAAAAAACTAAAAGCAAACATCTAAAACACATTGCACAATAAAAATCTGGTTAATCCAATAAAAACATAACATTTTAGTAAAAAGCCTATTTAACAACATAACATATAAAACTTTAATATTTTGACAATAAATTAAATTATTTCAAAATACTCTTGTAAAGTGCATAATACATAACATAATAATACAGTGCATAACAGCAGGCATATACTTGAACATACTTTGAAGATATTGCTTTTATCGTTTGAAATTTGAGCACCCTGATTCAAGGCAGAAAACATTAGTACCATTGTTATGACTAAAATTGTAGATTGTTAATTCATACTTTTGAACAAACATAAGAACATGACCTTCTGTAGTATACATGATCTGAATGCTAGATGTTTTATCTGGATATAGGGAACAAGCCTAAAATCAAAATAGCCTGCAATAGCTGAAAAATGTTTGAAATCCAATTTCTTCATTTGGTCGACAAAATTTTTTTTTTTTGAAAAGCATGACTTGCTCTGATTAAACCAAGGGGACTAAATATTTTAACAGGAGCAAGTGTTCTATCAATTTGACTTTGGATTATATCATCGCCGGCGCGATGGGGTGTGTGAAGGGAGGGTGTTTAAAATGTTTTAAGCTCGTATAAGAACTCTACATATTAGATACGTAATATTCAAAAAATTTTGCCGACTAAATAAACGAAAAAATCATCAATGATTTTTTCGTTCATATAGTCGGCAAATTTGACCCTTTTTGAACAGTTAGTCGGCAAATGTCGACGTTTTTGAAAAGTTAGTTGGTAAACTTAGACAGTCAGTTGGCAAATGCCGTTAAGACAGTCGGCAAATTTTAAAAAACGAGGACGTTTTTTTTTTAGTTGGCAAAAGTTGTAATGACCCCTTCCCCCCCCCCCCCACATGTGACACCGACTCGCGCCGGCCCTGTGTGTGTGTGTGTGTGTGTGTGTGTGTGTGTGTGTGTGTGTGTGTGTGTGTGTGTGTGTGTGTGTGTGTGTGTGAACAATAACATATTTAACCTTGAAAGTTTTGTTGTCGCTTTTCTGTAATAGAAACATCCGCTACCATTTTGGTGTAAATAACATTTGACTGGATAAAACGGAGATAGCACATTTTAATGTTAATTTATTAACAGAATTAAGGAGATAGAACAAAATGTAATGTCAGGTATTGTAATATTTATTTTTTTGTAAAAAATAAATATTTTATCCATAAAAAGAAAAAAAAATGATCTGACTCAATTTTTTTAATTTGTGGAGATAAAAGGAGATAGAACAAAATAATTCTAACCTCACGATATGTTTATCAAAAAACGGGTCATTTTTATCTAGTAACTCTAAAGAGCCAAAAAAATTTCCATTTTGACATAACACAATTTTCTGGTCTGATCCAGGAAATGCTAATCCTCTAATGAAATAACGCATAGAAAAAAACGCGTGAAATTTTTGTTCATAGGCGAATTTGCTGATTTCTTTTATTGTATTGAATCAGTCCATTACTTTGATATATTCAGTCGGCAGGCTTGGTAGAAAAACTTCAACGTTCTGAGCTAATTTTTTGCTAGCAACACTAATTAAGTTTTGCTGCCTTTTTATTAAGATCATCAATCAACAAATTGGGAGGATAGCTGGAAGAGGATAGCTCCTACATGATTGTGAATCCATTGCCTCTTCTGATAAAAAGACTAGATTTTTATTCTGCGAAAATGTTTTCAACTTTGGTATGACGCATTAACATTTTGGTTTGCAATTCGTTTCAAATTTTCTTCATTCTTTCTTTTGCCTCCGGATGTCAAAGTGAAAAGAATATTTTTCAAAATTTCTTTTTTTTATTACGCAGCCTGGTTTTTTTCTTTGCTTTTCAAACATTACTATTAATAATTTAAAACTTACAGTTATTTTAATGCTGATAAAAACCAATTATTACGCAAATTTTCTAAGACGCATCCCGGCATTTGGTCCCAAAAAACGTCTTTTGAACGTTCAGAAGACGTTCTTAACGTCTTTTGAACGTTTAAAGACATCTTCTCAGGACTGAATGTCGGTTGGGATGCGTCTTAGAAAATGCCGGTTGGGATTATAACACTATGTAATAATGTTTTTCAATTATATTCTTATAATAAATTAAAAAATATTTTTTTAAATAACTTCGAAAAAAAATAATTTCTTGCTGGCTGACCTCTTTAAAAGCCCTGACCCTGCAGCGATTGCCAATGCTGGAAATGGGTAAAAACGGACCTGCATCCATGATTTTTTACCAACATCTTAAAGTACAGGAATTATTTAAAACTATATCAAACCATGTTTTGCGCCATATAAAAGATTAAAAATCTAGATCCCTTTTTAGAATAAGAACCAACTTCAAGTTATTAGTAAGCGTTTAAAGAATAAGGATATTGTTTATTATAAACGAACATTTTCTTGAATAGAGAAAATGTTCTATAACCTTCAATACTCCTTTACAAATAGAGAAAAAATCCACAGATGCAAAGATAAAGCGTAGAAAAAGATTATGAATTGATAATTGATGAATAAATAAACTTGGTGATAAATTAAGAGAAAAAAGATATAGTAGATTCTTATCAACTAAATGGTTCAGCATTTTTGGATTTTCGAGATAACTTCCAAACATTTATATGTTTATACTTACGGCAATTTTTTTTTGTATTTATTAAGGTGCTCCCAGAGTCCTTACGATCTTATCTCAGAGCACCGCACAGTGACGGTCTTATCTTAGAGCACCGCGGAAGAGCATTTAGCAAGGAAGTTCACGCCTCTTTCTTTGTTAATGTCGTTAAATCGTCCTTTAAATCGTCATTTAAACGGCAAGCAAAGCTGCATATTCTTAGTTAGTAAAAATGATTGTAATAAATTAAAAAAAACAACAACAGTAAAAATAGTAATTACAAAGCTAATTACAAAAAAATTATTTCTTAGTTTACTTAACTAACTTTTTATATAGACATAGATATAAGCCAAACGGTGCTATTAAGGGAATCAGCGAAAAGATTTTTTTTGGAGTTTTATACCCAAAAATGCTGAATCTTCTTTGATTTCCTTTTTTTTAGGTATTAAAGTATAATATATATATATATATATATATATATATATATATATATATATATATATATATATATATATATATATATATATATATATATATATATATATATATATAAATATATATATATATATATACATATATATATATATATATATATATATATATATATATATATATATATATATATATATATATATATATATATATATATATATATATATATAATAGTTATAATACCAGAATTTATATTAAAGTTGGCATCAATGCTATATTAATGCATCAATATTATATTAATGTATTTTTATCAATCTGATACGTAATAATTTTGTATATATATTTTCTTTTTATCACAATAATAAATGTATATTTTATATGGTATACCTGGAGAAGAAAAAAATAAATAAATAAATAAAAAATAAATGTTACTTATTGGGCTAGAGCCGGCGTCAAATCTTGGAGCTCTTGGGTTCTGGGACAGAACTCTAATCACTACGGCCGCGCATAATTATAAATAAGAATGCTTTGTAATAAATTGCAATGATTAGAGCCTGTGAAAAAGAAGTCCTAATAATTAAAATCTGTGAAAAAAAAAACCTTAACATTTCCCCCCTGCTCCAAACGTGAGTAACAAGTTTGAACCCTCTTCAATTTGAGGGGGTTTCAAGTTTTATATGATCATAATTTTTGAACGCTGAGAGATTACACTATGAAACTTAAAATTTATTGATAAAAGTTTTGTGGAGAATAGTAAAAAAATATTTTATTAACTTGTTGCTCTCACAATTAAAAAGCAGGGAGGAAGGAGGGTGCAAATTTTTTTGGACTTAATTCTTCCCAGACTCCAATCATTGCAATTTTTTGCAAAGCATCCTTATTTGACGTAAGTATAAATATTATAATGTTTGGAGATCGCTCTATGCCTGTAAATTAGCTTTCTAAGAGCAAAAAATGTTGGATCCGCCCCTCACCTGATGCTTTCTAAGTAATAGCACTTCGTACTATTTTTTATTTGCTTTATTTATTCTTTATTTTCAATTTTTTTGGATAACCGTTAAAACATTAAACATAATAACTCTACAAATAAAATGGAACATTTGACTAGAAATTTTGAGATTTTATACTTCGGATGACCTATAGAAATTTTGAGATTTTATACTTCGGATGACCTATAGAAATTTATATAATATAACACAAGATATCTGATGAAAATCAAAAAAGAAATTCATACTTTCTATACTTTTCTTTTCTTCACTTTATACTTTATACACGATCAATACTTTTAGCTTTTGTTGTTAACTATTACAACACCGTCAAATTAAAATATATTCGGATTCAGGATAAAAGCTTTATTCTAAATCTGAATTTGTAATCTGTATTTTTTTAAAATTCATAACTAATTTTTTTTTAAATTTATTTTAATATTTAATTTTTTTTTTTAATTTAGAAAATTTTAAATAAAAAAGACTAGGATTATCTCAAACTGATGCAACTTTTAAGGTCTATAAAAATTAAATATAACATTGTGAGAAAAGTCTCACAAAGACATCAAACAAAAATGTTTTTTCAAATTTTCAAAAATTCAAAAATGTTTTTTCAAATTTCTGATCCAATAAAGTTTAAGTAAAAGTAACCGACTTAAAAAGTGACCGAAAATACACTAACTTATTTTTATTTTACTAATAATGTCTAATAGTAATTTAAATACTAATTAATGTTATTGGCAAGTTTTTAAGTTAGTAGATGTTAAGATAAAAGTCATATAACAAGACTATACTCGTGATGAAACAAAGAATGCTTTTATAACACTTGTTAAAGTACGCATGCGCAACTTGTTAAGCGCCTAAATGCGTTGCCAGTATCTTGGGGTTTATTTCTTTCTTTGTTATATACAATATAAATTTGCATTTTATTAGAAGAAAGTTTAGTATATTTTATTGAATTATAGTTTGTAAAATTGCTTTGTTGGTTTTTGATTGACGAAACCGTAACTTAAGTAATATTTTAATCACAAAGTAATTTAGCAAAAAGTTATACTCAGCAAGTTATTAGGTAATGTAAAAGAATAAAGTTTCTTTCCCCTTCAATGTAATAGTTTTTTTTTTTAATTTATGAATATTTTTATTGATAGTGTAAAGTTACGTATAACTGCTTAAAAACAGTTTATTTTTTAAATGATTACTATTTTTACTGATTAACTAATAATTTTTTTTTCTTAACTCTTTTGTAACGCAGGCTTTATAATAGAAAATGGTAGGAGAAAAAGAAGAGGATGAAAATCAAGCCCATAGCGACGATGACGAAGAAGAATATGTTGTTGAAAAAATCCTAAAACATAAAGTAAATAAAAATAACGAGATATTATACTTTTTAAAATGGAAAGGTTATCCTCTTGAAGATAATACTTGGGAACCTGCTTCCAATCTTAATTGTCCTGAATTAATAGCTGAATATGAAAGAGAATCAAATGAAAAAAAAAGAAAATCTTCAAATAGGGTAAGCTTTGATGTTGAACGCAAAGAACAAAAAGCAGACAAGAAAACTGAAAAGCCAGTACCAGATGAAAAAAAGAAACAAACTAAAAGAAAACAGACTGATGAAGGGTATGTTTCTCTCTCTCTCTTCCTTATATATATATATATATATATATATATATATATATATATATATATATATATATATATATATATATATATATATATATATTATATGTATTTGTATTAGAGTATTAAGATAACAAATTGTTACCTTATATTGAATAATATTGTTGTATCATAATGTAATCATACATTAATTTAATATTTGAAATGCATTTTGATTTAAAAACTGGGACTGACTTACGTTTTAAGAATAATGAATGGCTAAGATTAAAATTCAATACAAAGTTTAGATCAAATATGATTTATAAATTATTATTCAATTTTAAATTTTATAGCCAAAAATTGTATATAGATAGGTATACATTTTTTTATTTGGCTAGTAATATGGGTATGAAGCAGGGATGCGGAGTCCCAATAAGACTCTGGCTTTATGACTTTATTTTTTTATGGTCTCTGGTGTCCAGAAGTTCTAAACATTTTGGTTGATTAATGATCTGATATAAGAAAAAAATGTATTATATTTAATGCCTTGGATCTTATTGTTTTTAAGCCCAGAGTCCCGGAGTCCTTGCCACCATTATACCTAGGACTCTAGGTTCAAAAATTTATTGTTATTTTGACCTATAAGTCTTGATTTTTTCCCCATAAACTTTTTTATATTTTTATAAGCTTCTGGATAAAAAAAAAATTAGGAAAGAAGTGATTTTATTGTGACTTTCAAATCCAAAGTCTCTTTTTTGGACTCCGCATCCCTGGTATGAAGGTATTTCTACTTAACATTTGATCACAGTCTGCTTTATGTGTAAAGCAGACATTAAATGTATTAATATATACAAGAATTTAATTTTAAGACTTTAATTTATTCAATAAATTATAACATTGTTGTGTAAAAACACAACAATTTTACAAAAAGAACACGTAACATAATTTAACTTTAACACAGCTTTGATATTTACATTGTTAAAAGTTAAATTGCATCATTAGCGTATTTTAAAGTATTGCATTGTAATTAAATATAATTTTTAACTGCTTTAAAAATTACTTAAATAAAAAAAAGTTACTGATGAAATCTAAATTGGCTATTTGATAAAGATTATATATTTTTATAACTTATTTCTTAAAACAATCTTATTCTTAACATAATTTTTTGTTTTCTTATCACAACTTTTTATTGCCTAATTTATAACTTATTATCTCAAATTTTATTGCTTTATAACTTATTACAAATTTATAGAGAGATTTTTGTTACCAATAAGATATTTGTAAACAAAATTTATGTTCATAAATAAATTCAAAAGAACATTACATGTTATTGAATTGATAAGAAACAAAAAAATTTTTTGTTTCTTATTAATTCAACTTTTCTGAATCTTTGTTCACTTCTAATAGTTTTTAATAACAATATATATTTTTAAATGGTTTTTATCAGGAGTCATCTTTAAAGTACATCACGCTAAATTTAACTTTTAATAGAAGTATGATCATCTACTCTCTTGTGCAGAGATTTTTTGAATTTTAATTACTTTAAATCTTTGCTTTGAAGCTATTTATATTTTAAAGTTAAATTTAGTGTTATTTATTTAACAGATAAAGTACATTACAGTAAATTTACCCATAATTTCAATCAAAACAAGTTTAGTTCATAATCAAAACAGTTGCTGCAGTTCAGTTACTATTAAATGAATTGAGTCAACTATTAAATATACTTAATACGGTCAAAGATATTTACTTTTGCAAGTAAATATCTTTGAAGAAAACTTTAGTCTCCTAAAATTTTCTTATTTAAATAATTATGAATTTGAAATTATGAAAATGTTAAAAGAATTTTGGGAGTTGTTAACGCTCGCTTACAATAAATTTGATTGAATAAAATATTAGAAAGAATGTAGTAAGTAAATATTGTAATAAGTTAAGTATTTTTTTGAGTTTACTTTGTGTTTTTTTTGACTAAACCTTACTCGTTGGATCTATAGATAAAGCATTGTAAAAATAATAAGTTGAAAGTTATAAAGATAATGTTTTCATCGATTTTGATTTATTAATAATAATAATTTATTAATTAATAATTTTATTTATTTACTTTGTTTTATTTTAAACGCGTTTAATGTTTTTAATGTTATAAACTGTACAAAATAATGTAGTGAAGTTGTTTTATATTAACACAAACTTTTTATATTGACAAAATTTTTAGATTGTTGTTTTATATAGTTTTATAGTTTTATGTTTTACAGTTTAATATGCTTTATAAATAAACGGTGTTTCAGGGGCTATTCTTGGAAAAAAATTTGGGTGGCAGTAAATAAAATATATATTATGCCTATAGAAAAATTTTAAAATAATTACACATTAAAATTAATAAAAAATCATCGGAGTTAATTTCAAAATGTAGACATAATTATGACTGTATTTTGAAATGACTAAAAAAAATACCGAAAGTACATCTTGACTATTCCGCGGCCCCTAACATTGTGAGTCCCTGGGCTATTGCCCTTTTTACCTCCCTCCCCCCCTCCCCCCACCTCAATCTAGAAATAGAAAAAAGACATCAGCATATAAATAAAAATTGTATATACTCTTTGATAAATTGAAGAACATTTGTTTCCTTATTAAACAATCATTAATATTAAGTTATTACTTTAAATAAAAAATGTCACTTAGTTTTATTAAAAAAATTATAAAAGAGCGTCATTTCATAAATATTTCCTCTAATCATATTTGTTTTGTTTAAAGTTTTTTCGCGTTAAAAGTTATTTTTCTGTTTTTAACTGTCTCTCATTGGTCCAGTTAAGGCATAACTGGACCAATGAGAGAGCATAACCCCTATTTTCCCCCCAAAAAAAGCATATATTTTCAAACTTCACGTATTATACAGCATAAGTTTACGTAGGACTTCATTTCTACCACTTATTGCTATGGGAAGGGGAGTCACATTCAAATTCACCCCCCCCCCCCCTTGTTTTCACATTCAAATTTACCCCCCCCCCCCCTCCTCCTCCCTGCCAATATATATATATATATATATATATATATATATATATATATATATATATATATATATATATATATATATATTGGATGTTATAATAATGGAAATATAAATAATGAAATAAGATCACCTCAATACCAAAAAATACATTTTTGAAAATCAGAGAAAATATGCGTTAATATTTTTTGTTTTAATATTTACAAAGTAAATTAATAAAAGTGCATTATTATTTTAGGTTAAAAATTATTTTATCTAATATTTTGAAAGAAAAACATATAACAAAATAAATAAAAATACATGTGGTCTAGACTATTTTGTTTTTAATTTTTTTTACAAACACATTTTAGAACTTTAAAATATAATAAAAATGAATATGATTTGGAAAATGTATGTAAAAAATGATAATCACAGGCTTGGTCGGGAAGCGGGAGCGATCGCTCTCGAATACTGACCACGGAAATTATATTTAGTTGCGTAAAACTGGCCAGGTTTTTCAGTTGTTTTGAGAACATTTAAGTTTATGTACGAAATAAAAAAATTTTGTTTTACGGACATACATGGAAACATAAAAAACTTAAATGTTTTCAAAACATCTTTGAGCGCAAGAATAAAAAGAATATTTGCGAACACTAAAAACCCGCCAAATTAACGAACAAACTAATTCTATTGGTTCAAAAAATACGCTGATTAAGCGAAATAAAGTTCTAGAGTATTCTGTTGAAATGTTTTAGAATTTGTATTATTATCGCGATTTGTTACGTTTTGAGATTTCTAGCAAAAATTGTTTTAAAAATATTTATTATTTGTTTTCAAAAATAAATGTTTAATATATATTAATTAAGTTATCAAAATTTTAAAAGTTTATTATAAATCATAGATTTTACTAGTATATTCTTATTTTTTATTTTAAAAGAGATTGCATTCTTTATGTAAATGTAATTTTGTGTATTTGTTTTTTATCGTAATGTATCTTTTAAAGCAATTTTTATGATTTAAACAAAGACTTAAAATAATTGCGTTTTCAATGAAGTAATAAATAAATAATTGCGTTTTCAATGAAGTTATAATCGTTAAAGTTAATAAAACTAATTATGTAACAAACATATAAGAAGTTTCTGGTTACTAAACACAAACAACGCATACAAAGTAAGTCGCGGATGAACAAGCATCGCGCCTGAGGTCACAACAGAACACAAATATATATACCAAATAATTAGATTTAAAGAAAAGTTTCTAGATATAGGTTTACTCTAATTATTTTCGCTTAAATTGCCATTCTTAAAACTCGTTATACTTTTTGCTGCTTTAAATACTAATTAAAATTTAAAAGCCCACTCACTAAACATCATCAGCGATATTGTGAAGCGGTTTCGCTTCCTGGTCATTAAGTATTTTTAACCTTTTTAGTTGATTTCTATCATGATAATTTAATTCCTATAGTAATTCAATGATTTAATTATTTCATTTGTTTATCTTACTAAGAAGAGTCGCTTTAAATATGTTAAACTTTTCAAACTACGCGAAACATAAAATAGGTATTAAAAAAATTAACTTTTTTATTTATAAAATAAATTAAGCTTAAGTAAAACTAAAACTTGCAAACTTAGTTAAATAAAGAATATGTGATTCCCTTTTAAACAATCGTAAGTTGTTACTTAATTTTATTAAAAAAATTGTAAAAGAGCGATGTTTCGAAAATATTTGTTCTAAATGTAATTTATTTAGCTTTAGGTTTTTTTGCGTTTAAAGATATTTATTTGCCTATTTTTTTTTTTTTTTTTTTGTAACTGTCTCTGATCGGTCCAATTAATCTTAGTCGCTTTTTTTTTTTTGCTTTTTAAAATGTTCTCAAAACGGCTAAAAAATCTGGCCAGCTTTTCGCAACTAAATATTATTTACGTGGTCAGCAATCGAGAGCGATCGCTCCCGCTTCCCGACCAAGCCTGTAATCAGTGTTTTAAACAAACAAACAAAAATCTATGACATCATGTACTAAAACTCCTTTAAATTAAACGCA